AAAAGAAGGGGGGGGGGGGGGGGGGGGGGTAGCTCTCCCAGACGGGCTCTAAATTAAGTAGGAAAAAACCAATCAAATACTCTAAAATCTATTAAATAAAGTCCTAATTACTACCTAAAATAAGTATCTAACTTGGAAAGTCTTCCAATTAATATATGTAATAGGACCTTCATCACTTGCCCATTGACATGCTTAGAAGCTACTTCTTGGTAAAAAATGTTCATAATATGTGAGTTCACTCTTCTTTGATTTAATTTTTGTATTTTTATTTCTTTAGTTAACAGGCTGCGGGAATTGCTAAAACATGTGTACCAAGATACGGTTACTCTAATAACTTTGAAAAAATATCTAAACAAAATTTAAAAAAGCAAGATTAACTGATTAATAAACCCCAAAAGAGATGTAATAAATAACATTTGTCTGAAAGGTTACTTACATCAAGAGGTGGATTCAGCAGTTCTATACCATTACTTATTTGGCCATATGGTTCCATCAAGTCGACGACATTTTGCAAATCCTCTTTTGTCAATGTCAATCCAAGATGATTTACCAGCATGTTGCTCAACTTTTTCACAACTTTGGTTTTCCTCAGCCATCTGGGGACCATGCCACCAAAAGTCTGCATGTAGCAATTAATATAGAGTAAATTTCCTAAATACCAACTAAGCCTTCGTTTGGAAAGAATTTACAAACGGTTTAATTTATAAATAGATAGAAATGAGTCAATGATAAGTGGATGATACTTATGGGTTCATTTGAAAATGTGGTTAAAAATGAAGTTTGATCATTTATAAATATTTATAAATTTAGCCAAACGGTGGCCAAATGTTCACAGCATATTATGCCAACCATACAAAATCAAAGTGGTACATCAGGTGCTTACACATTATTGATATCTTTATGGGATGTTCAGTTAATTTCCTAAAGTTTAATAAGAAAGATTTTTGCTGCCGTTATAAAAAATGATACAAACTTTCATTTATTTGGAAAATTATTCGCACCGAGTCACAAGTAAATGCACGGTGCACAAAGTGATAAGGAGAAAAATTTGCTCAAGCATTAGATGAGTCAAAATTGACGAAATGACATCATGAAAATGATGAGATAATAATGATGATAATAGTGGCAGCCAACATTATCACTTTACAATGCGGAATGGGAAGGAAGAGAAAACGAGTCTTATGAGAATGCTCTAACCATTATATCTCGAGTCAAGGAGCCAGAACAGACATGAAATGTATTTGTACAATGAGGGATAGCATAAAGATCATGGATGAAATAAAATATTTTGCAAAGTAATTATCAGGATGCTATCATGATGATGGGAGCAACAGTTCTTACTGCAAACCAGCTGCAATAGCTCATAAGCTCATCCATGTCGACAAACTTGCTCCTGAAAGCACTACCTTCCAAAGCCACTGGTACAAGTTTTAATTCTATAGGACGAAGAAGAGCAGTTTTTTCAGCAACCTGCAGGATGGTGTCTTAGTGTTTAAGAAGGACACTAATAAGGATGTTAACAATAGCATTTTTTGGTACTAGATTTATAATTCCTAGTTGTTAAATTATCAATTTGGTACTAATGATTCGATAAGACTAGTACATGATATACTTCTCTAAAAGAGATTAAAATTTTCATACATTTGCGTGAAAGTTTAGAGTAATCAAGTGAGTAATTGTTGCACAATAAGTTCACTGAACTGGCCTCAGGAGCTGGAGAAGCCACAGGAAAATTCAATCATCGTCAATGATGGGCGCTGTGCTGGGGTTTTGTATGTGATCCTCGGCCCTGAGATGCCCCTGATTGTCTTACATATGAATTCTGCCATGGTTTATTATTTTCATTAAGGTCTAGATCTGATCAAGGGATTGACTAAGTCGTAGTAGTAACAATCATGTATGGAGAACAGTGCCCACTGCCCAGTCAACGATGTTAACATCAAGATAATGCTGAGCTATACCAAATCAATTGCCTAATCATTAAATCCAAAAGAACTGGCTAGATGCAGTAGGTTACCATGCTACAGGCAGGCAAGAGTGTGAGTGTGTGTGTGTGTGTGTGAGAGAGAGAGAGAGAGAGGTAGAGAGGTATTTCTTTAAAAAAAAATAAGCCAAGTTAAGTAAATAGCGATGAGGGGAAAAAAATAAAAAAATAGGAAACTAATGCTGACCATCAATTTTAACTAATAAAACAGTTCAAGTAAAACAATCCCAATCAATAGGAAATGGTAAGTATTATTAAATTAGTAAATAGATGTACGAGTGCTAGTTAAATCAAGCAAATCAGGGAAACACGTTAGCATACAATAAGTTCAGTTAATCGAAAAGGATGAGCCTTCAGAAGCCCCAAAAAAATCAAGCTTAAGCAGCAGAGAGTTTCTCAATTGAGTCAAGAAACAACTTATCAAATAGCACATCATAAAAAGTCATGATATAATTGAATTTTTGAGGAGAGGAAGAAAGAGAAGATCAAGATAGTGCCCCACCATAACAAATAAAATGAAGAGCTTCAAAAAAAACTTGAATCAATCAGGGTAAACAATTATAAGCTCCTATTTCCTTTTTTCCTTACCTTAACTGGTCGTGAAACAACTTTTTTTCAATAAAAAAGTTAATGACATTATATTCTATTGTAAAACAAACATGCAACTGAAAAGTGGGCAACAACCTAACAGAAAGTACTTATGATTACCTTTCTCCAATCTACAAAGTCAATAAGATCTTCATCCATAGTTTCTTCGGCAGCAACTCGCAGTATCTTCTCTCTTTCTGTTTGTGTTGGCCGCTGAAGGTGAAATATCCTATCCATTCTACCAGGACGACGTAGTGCCTCGTCTATTTGTTTGAGATTACGGGTAGTGGCCATCAAAACCACCCCATCTTGTTTCTCAAACCTGAAAAGGACGATCATATTGACATAAAACAAAATAACTAATGACACAAAAAGAAAATTTTTAGTTGATTTTGGAGTCGTAAAAAATTCGTACAGGTAAGATGTTTTTACCTCACTTCCAGAGCAACAAGGCAATGTGAACTATTACATAGTGTTTCAATTTTGAAAACACAA